GCGCATTCATGCTTCTTTTCGATCTTTCCATGATCCTGCCTCAAGCTTGGGGCCGCCTTGCTTCCAACTTTGCTGTGGAGCTCGGAGGCCCCCTGGCACTGGCGGCGGACCGTAGCGCTCGGCTATTCGACAAGCTCCCAACCGCAGCTCCTCGGATGTACGCCAAAAAACGCTTGTGATAGCGAGTGGACATGCTCCAGCCTCGACCTTTGAATCAGCACCAAGTACACCGCCGAAGAGGGTGGAAACGACGATCGAACCTTACACCCCCAATTCCTGAACTAAGGTGAAGGTAACAATGCGCCTTGTGCGGCTTGGCCAAGCGGACGTTCAAAGTACTCGTGCAGAGGGGCGGAAATCTCATGTCCGACCTGAGGAAGTGGTGGCGCAATCAGCAGCCATGGTCGAGCGATTTGGCAGATTCTAGTAGCAGGACATTACACGTTCGAGTTATTGCAGGGGCAGGGCTTGAATAGACATCCTAAAGGTACCTCAACAGCAATCCTTGCCGAAGGAAGATGGCCTTGCATGGGTTTTCCATGGTTTCCCTTTTTAGCCACCGGTGCCTCAAAGCTGTGCTCTGTGCAGTTGGCGGGCAGGATCGGCACAACTCCGGATTTAGCTTTAGCAGATTCCAGCCGACAAGATCCCACGAGCTACCGGGAGAAACGACCGTAACCGCCGCTGAAGAAATTCGACATGTTTCGATGGGTAATTGACATTTTCTCGCAGAAATCGTCCCGAACCCTCCGGGCTCGTCCTGGCCCAGCAGGAGGCAAAACTTGGCTTGGCATCGGATGGAAATCAGAGCATCTGACAACCGACTCAAGGCGATGAGGAGCGCCCTTCCGACCTCCTCCTGGAACACATCGTTGCGTCCACGACCTCGCCAGCACCAGTGGACCAGGTGGAGGGATCTAAAGGGGGAGTTGGACATCCGTCGAACATGGTGGTTATATTGAATGTATGGCTTCAATCATCCTTTTCATGCTAGACGGGCCAGATACGGCACTGCGGGGCTAGTAAGGTTCGGGGTTCACTTGACGATGCCAACAGCCAACGTCACAGTGGTGGTGAGGATGATGATGGTGATGTTTCAGGGGCTGACGGGGTGGTGGCAGATGGTTGTAGTGGCAGAGGCAAATTACCGGGAATGGGTGTGGTGCTTGCCGTGACTTTGCTATTGACTGATTTGGGGAATTGTATGTTTTAGGTATTCTTTTTTATTTTTATTTTTCTTATTTTTTGTCTTTTTTTGCTTCTCGTCTTCTCGGCTTTCCTTCTTGGTTTGCTGTCCTCTTTAGATCTCTATGCAATTAAAAAAGAAGTAAATAGTTAAATAAATAAATAAATAGATAAATAAATAAATATATATATACCTACATATGAACGCATATGTGTACATTGTCTAGACAAAAAATAAACATATGCATACATACATACATGCATGCATGCATACATACATACATACATACATACATACACACACATACATACATACATACATGCCTGCATGGATGGATGTATGTTTTTATGTATGTATGCATGCATGCATGTATGTATGTATGTATGTATGTGTGGTATGTATAAATGAATATGTATACACGCATACATATACATATACGCAGTATACATGCCTATATATATATACACATACATTGTATGTATGTGTGTATGTATGTATGTATGTATGTATGTATGTATGTATGTATGTATGTTTGTGTATATTTATATGTATATGTATATGTATATGTATATGTATATGTATATGTATATGTATATTATGTATATGTGTATGTATATGTATATGTATGTGTATGTGTATGTGTATGTGTATGTGTATGTGTATATATATATATACATATGTATACATATGTAAATTATATATATAATTTGACTCTGCATCGTAGGTTCGTCCCAGCCAGGCGGGACGCAAAAAAATTAATTATATACATACCAAGGAATCCTGTCAATTCTGATTGCTGTTACGAGTACTACGAGTGCTACGGGCGCTGCTAGTGTTAGTGGTAGTATTCGTGATACTGGTAATCCGTACTGGTAATTTAGCACGACTTGTCCTGTTCGTACAACTCCTACTCCTACTGCTACCGGCTTGAGAGGCTGGACTTGCTTGTGCAAACTGAGGGTTAGCAGGCTGCGCCTCCACAAACTGAAGCGTGAAGACTTGCTACATGCAGCCTCCCAAATCCCAGGCAAGTCGACTGTCCAAAAGGATAACAAAACGATAAAACTTTGGTTTGACAGAGGTGCTCGTGCCTGTACTAGTGAGTTGAGTTGTTTGTTGGTAACCTGTTCCGAAGAGCTGTGGACATCTTCGGACACGTAATTGTAGATGGGTTGTAAGATGCTGCCAGCCACCAAGAGATAAGCTGCGACCCCACCCACCCCGGCTTTTTTTGTGCCGTGCATGGCTTGCTGTCAAGAACATCACGCCGTCCGGAAGAATTGCATCGGTCACATAAGTGTAGAGATTTTCAATTTTCCAAATCCATCACACAGGCGAAGTGCTTAATTTTTTCAAAGTCCATGATACAGGCATTCTGTCTGCAAATGGGGGGCCGGGCGCCCCCCGCTATCGCAAGCTCGTTTCAAACATAGTTCTGCTAGCAACCAGGTGCACAGAGTTCATTTGGATCGCCAAAAAGGGGGCGGGTGTAAGATAAAAAAAGATGAACCGGAATAGAATACCCAACAAAAAATTGCTATAGAACCCGGCATCCTCCGGATGGCCTAGCACGAACCGGATGATTTTGTGAAACTGCACAGAGCTTGCATGAGTCTGCTTGAGCAGAGAGTCCTGCACATGTGCATTCAAACAAAAGTTGCCACTTCAGACTGCGTGGAGCTTCTACATTAGCTATAGTTTGCTGGAAAAGAAAGCCAAAAATACCGGATAAAAAACAAAGAACATATTAATTGTGGACCCTTTAGGGTTCGGGGTTCTTACGGGCTTTCTAGCTAGGCTTCCTGTGAGTCTCTCTGTTTAGAGTCGTTTTTGGGTTGCCTTTTGAAGCCTAGGCCACTTTTCCAAACCCTACTCCAATACCCTTGCACCCCAAACCCTTCAGGGTTTTCCTGTGCTTCCCCATACCCAGCTGATACGAGAGAGCCTGAAATCCTTCCCTAACAGCCGTAAGCGCTGGACCCTAAAAGCCGTTAGCTCCGACGGCCCTAAACCTGATTTCCAAACCTTGAGCCGTGAGCCCTAAACCCTAAGCCCTAAACCTTCAATAAAGCCACCAAATATTGAATCCGAAAGCTGAAACCCTACACCGTAAATCCTCATCTCAATCTCAGGACCTTTTCCAAGACGAGCCGAAGCGCTTTCGGCTCTCCCACACAAAGCCGGTGGAGAATCCGCGGCTCGGAGTGATAAGGTGTCCTTTTGGTTCCTTTTAGGGGTTCCTTTTCAAGTGTTCTGCAGGTTCTAGAATGCGAGTGAAGGGCGAGTTGTTGCATGCTGCTTATTTTGGGCTTTGGAGGGGTTTCATACGGGTCCTTTTACAGTTTGGCTTTCAACAAGGACTTCGTGAACCTAATGCTCGTCAGAGAAGTGATACACCCTATACAAAACGTAGGTTTGTTCCTCGAAAGGGTGTCGGGCTTGGGGAGGATAGGCATCGGTAGGTACATGTGTCTAATCATTGCTCATCGCAGTCCAACTTATTATGTCGCTGTTGCTGCTGCTGCTGCTGCTGCTACTACTACTACTACTACTACTACTACTACTATTACTTCTACTACAAGAACAATCATAATTCTTGCTGAGACGACAACGACAACGACTACGCCTCCGTGTGCAGCATTTAGGGTTGGGCATTTTATTTGAGCTAGTCGCGTCTATAGAAAATTAGAGGGTCGTCACTGTATTGCGGCCCTTGAGCTTAGATTATAGAGCTCACGGCCTAAAATTTACCTGGGCCCGGGCCCTGAAGAATCGACCTTTATAGGGCTCCTTATTAACATTTCTTTATACACATGAACGAAAATGGTACATAGGTCATCTGGGGTTTGGATGTGTAGAGGCCCTGAGGCGTAGACACATGGACCTCGGGGTCTAACGTAACTTGACGACGTACGGCTGATGATATAAATCCTGCATTAAATACCCATAATAAGGAGTCTACCATGTCCTCGTAGTTTAGGGTCCTTAAGGTAATGCAGGATGTATATCATCAGCAGCATTGTAACGGCGCGAAATCTGTTGAAACATAGCTATACGACATTTGTAACTACCCATGAGCCATCTGGGGTGGGGTAGGCTTGCGGTTCGGAGCCTTAAGGCTCCGGGAATTGAGTTGAAGTGCCCTAAGGTTTAGGGTTTAGCGGGGCCCTAAACGCTGAAACCCTAAAAGCAACCTGTTCGCGCAGAGGCTTGAAGCCATCATCAACGTAGACCCGAACTACCTCTCTCGCTTCGAGGTGGGCTTCGGGTGCCTGATATCCCAGATCTCCAGGAGGATCCAAAAAGCAGATCCCCTAATTTGGGACCGGGCTTCGAACACTTGGGGCATGCAAAATGTCGATTTAGCGTTTAGGGTTTAGGGCATGCAAAATGTCGATTACAGTTTTAGTGAGTCTGCTCAGTGGTAAGACGGCCACCGTGGCAGCCGCCTTGGATGAAGAAGTAGGACCCAGAGGGTCCATAGATACTACTATTATGGAATTAGGTCCCCAAAACCAGTATCAGGATGGTCTTTTAGGACCTACTTCCATAATAGTAGTATATATGGACCCTCTGGATAAAAATTGAAAACGAGCACAGCATGCGCATGGCAAAGCTGGATGAAGGTCTTTTTCGGCTCGGAGAGTCTCTCCCCACGAAGCCACAGCCCGAGATCTTCAATTATGCATTTAAGCAAATGAACACACATTTTTAACTTATAGTAGGGTTTAGGTTTTAGGGCTTAAACCTGAGTTCAGGGTATAGCCCTTAAATCCGGGATTTCGGAAGATCTCGGTCAGAAAGCTGTTTCTGAATGGAGGCGGGGCAGCCCTTGAAGTCCAGTGCCCCTGCTTGGGGCAAGAAGCGGACAAAAAGGCTCCCTGGTTCTCAGTAGGGAATGGGGGAATGGATCCCTAGGATAGTTCCTTAAGGTCCCCTGTAGTAGTACCAAAATCCCATTCCTCCATTCCCTACTAAGAACCGGTCAGAAGGTATTTGGAGACAGTGTGGCCCCGGAGCTATTGGAACACGGGACCTGTACGCTTCGAGCCGCGATGCTACCGGTCATCATTGCCACCCAGGACAGGCAACAGCCCCCTAAACCCTAAAACGTCTTCTGGTCATCATTGCCGCCCAGGACAGGCAAAAGTCCCATAAACCCCAAACCGTCTACCGGTCATCATTGCCGCCCAGGACAGGCAAAAGTCGCCGTCCAGCTCGGGTGCGCACTGCATGGGAGGACGACATGAAGCCCAAAAGCGAAGCCGGAGCAGTTTCGGCCCGGGTCGGTGCGGCAACAGTGGCTAAGTGGCTCTTTAATTTTCTGAATCCAACATAGAAGCCTCCTCCTAGGCAGTATGCTCTCACGCCTCGTATGATCTTTCAAGGGTTTCTATCTTGTTTTTTGGGGGAGATTCTATACTTTCTAGAGGTACCGCATCTATTCCGGTTCATGGCCTTCGGGAGTCGTCAGCTACAACCCAGGTGGTGCCTCTGGAGACCGATACCCAGAGTGAGTCCAGCAGCTCAAAGGATTCTGGGCTCGAAAAAAGGGGTTTAGGGTTTAGCGTTAGGGGATGGGGTTCACCCTAAACCCTAAACCGTTTCAGGGTTTGGGGGTTAGGGTTTAGGGTTTAGTTTCTTGTTCAGGGACCTAAGTTTTAGGGATTTAGGACTTAAGGTTTTAAGTGGTTTAGGGTTTTGGGTTACAGCTATAATAAACCCAAAACCCTAAACCCTAAATCCTACACACTAAACCAGGGAGCATGACTATTTACTATAGGACCCCATGATGGTAGTTTTAAGTTATATTCCTTGACAAAGCCCTAAACCCTAAACCCTAAACCCCAAAATCCAGGATTCGCAAGAGGAGGTCCCTCTGTGTCACACAAAGCTGCTGGGTCGGCCGTTGGGACATTTTGTGTTACACGGTTTAGGGTTTAGTGTTCAGGAACCTAAGTTTTGGGGGTTTAGGGCTTAAGGGTTTAAGGAGTTCAGGGTTTAGGGTTTAGGGTGTGAGATTTTTGAGGTTCTCAAGTATGACATCATAGGGTTTTATTAAGGTGTTTTTGGAGGGTGGTATAGCGGTGCTATAGGGTCGTCTACTGGGTCACCCAGTAGTACACGTTTACAGCTTTTGTTTCAGAGATTCCGTCTGAAACCGGACTAGTAGGAAACGAATCTACCACCCCTTTCCTAAACCCCAAACCCTTCCTATTATCAGGGAGCTACCGGGAACCTCAACTTAGCACCCTTCTTGCTAGCGGGCTTCTTGGCGAACCAAGGTTGCCACAGTGGTACTCCGACATCGATTGCTGCAACGATGAAATCCTGCTGTTGAAGGACACGCCGAGACCTGCAAGTCTACCTTTTGGGTTTATATAGGGTTTAGGGTTTGGGTTTAGGGTTTAGGGTAGATGACTTAAGGCCTATAAGTCCTAAACCCGATCCTAAGCCCTAAGCCTGCGTCCCAAACGCATAACATGAACCGAAACCATGAACCCCTAAACACCATCATATCAAAGTACCTTTCTTGTAGACCTGGTAGTAACCCTAAACTCTAGACCCTAGACCCTAAACCCTTATAGAGCCCTTCGAAGGGAAGCCTAAACCCTAAACCCTAAACCCTAAACCCTAAACCCTAAACCCTAAACCCCTACCCCAAAGCCATGAAGGACAAGCGGAGGCAGGAGGTCTACGGCAAAATGGAGCCTAGGTCCCTGAGTGGTACCCTTTTGCCCTTTTTATTTTAGGGCCCCCTTACCCAAAACCGAATATTCCCTAAACCCTAAACTTTAAACCCTAAACCCTAAACCCTAAACCTAAAAAAAAAACCTAAACCTATAAACCCTAAACCAAGGAACAGCTTGGATCGCTAAAACTCATCTGGGCCCAGACGAAGGGCTCGGAGAGCTTCCGCTACGCGGATCTCCTGCGGCCTGCTTAAGGTTTAGGGCTTTTAGGGTTTAGGGTTTAGAGTTTAGGGTTTGGGGTTTAGGGTTTAGGTTTTTTTGGGTTTAGGGTTTAGGGTTTAGGGTTTTAGGGTGTTAGGGCTTTAGGGGGTTAGGGTTTTAGGGTTTAGGGTTTAGGGGGTTAGGGTTTTAGGGTTTAGGGTTTTAGGGCCTCGGG